CGATAATCTAACCTTACCCACTCCATGTTTCTTGCTGCGTTTTAAAATTCAGATCAGACTGACCGGTTCAATTGGTTGAACCGGGTAGACATCCGATCCGAGTTGTCCTAAACAACCGTCAAATAAAAACTTGGTTAAATTCAGTTAAAAAATCAGATTTGATCATAAATGGGAAAAGCTGCTTGGAATCGGATTTTTTCCGCCTTTTCCTTTTTTATTTTTTTTTTAACTACTCTTAAATCTCTTCACATATCGTACTGTAAATCTCTCTCAAACAACTCCAATGGAGGATCTAAGTTCAAAAAGGGATAAAACATTTTTTAAAAAAAAGAAAGTAAAAAATTCACCTAGAAACATTTTATCAATTTTATGATTTGACCCTTAGAGTACTAGAAAACTATTATTACATCTAGAAACATTTTAGAACATATAGCTAGAACCCTAAATTCTTGTATTATTTTTCAAATAAGCCCTCCAATTTGGTTATAAACTCGTTGAATATGCATTAAATTGTAAATTGCATAAATTGCTACTTAATTATACTACCTTATTTGTATTTTCTTGAAAAATATTTTAGAAACATCAAACATACATTGAACCTATCTTTCTTAGTATTAATATGTTTTTAAAAATTTTACATAATATTTTAATTTTTAAAATTAAATATATTTATAACATTATAATGATATCATCCGATTATTGGATGGATTCATTGACCTGACCCTTGATCTCAACCGGTCGATGGCCTGTCCAAATTTCAAGATGGAGAAGGAAAATCTAGAAAATACACGTGTAACTGAAAAATTGGGGTGACACCACATTGAATTTAGAAACTGGATAATGACGTTAATCAATAATTTATCACAGATGACATCCAATTTACATTTCTAGAAACCACTCAAGGCTTCTCCAGCTTTTCCTTTTGTTCTGCTCAAAAAATCAAAAGAAAACATCCAGTAAAGATCCCTATTATAAGTCTGTGAAGCTTCTCTAAACTTTGAGCTCTATCCCCAACAATTTTCAGAGCAAAAGAGAAGGGAAGGGGGAAAGAAAATGTCGGCATTTGCATGGAAGAGCTTCTATGAAGATGAGGATCGTCCTGAGAAGCCAAGAACTTATGGTGTCACTGAAGTCAGGGGACCCCATTGCTCCCTTTTCTCTCAAAACCTCCTTGAGGTACGTTGAAAACAAAGCTTTTAGCTTTTTACTGAATAAAATGCCATGGGTTTTGATACTTTCCCCCTTTTTATTTTAATTGTAATCCTTTGGATTGAAGTGGAATGGAACGAAATTCCCTTCCATGTGATTTTTTTTTCCTTTTTGTTGCAAGATTCCCAATTGGAGCTTTCAGTTTAGATGATTCTCTTTTTTTCCATTAATTCTTTATAAAGGTGTTGGTTTTTCTTAAGTAGTTTAGGAAGATGGATTGATGATCAAATGGCTTTAGCGGTATACTTAGATTTCTTATTGAACTGTTTGATTTTTTGGGGATCCCTTCTGGGTACAATTTGATTGGCAGTGAGCTTCAATATGGTAATGCAAGTTGTTTGATAGGTTAAATTTGGTAGGTTTTTCATCATAGGAACCAGGAATTTGACCTCCTAAAAGAGCTGGAGCTAAAGTGATAAAAGTTTTCTTGTATCTAGGGCTTGTTTCAAATCCGCGTTTCATGGACACTAGATTTGCTATGTGCCTGTCCTTGTTTTAACAAAAGGAAATAGAAATTTGCAGGAAGTGAAGGAAATGGAACTGATATTTTGGATGGTAATATGGTAAATTTCCACGGAAGGTTCAATGTTGCAGTTAAAGATTGATATCACACTTGGTGCGTCTAATAGGGTTATCTATAGTTGAATCATTTCTGCAAACTTGTAGAGAGATTATGGAAATGGGGTTGAGGGATGGGATAATTGGCTTAGAAGTAGTACCCCGGATGGTCAAGAAGTAGCTGAAATAGTGGTCTGATCCGTTTTTAAATTGCATCACTAGCCAAACAAATGTCTCTCTCTGATATTTGGCTACTACGTCTTGATCATTCTGATTAGCGGGCTCATTTTCAACATGAAATCTGTGCACTAGAATACATTCAAGGTCCTGATGAACTGGCAAATATATCTGGGATGTGTGTTGGAGAAAGCTAGGGAAAAAGGGAAACTTATATTCTCGTTTTGCAAGTTCTGTGTGCATATATCCTCACTATACTATAAACAGGTCATTCTGGATATGCTAAAGACAGAGGATCCCTTTCATTTACTAAAAATCAAAGAAAATCTTCCATAACCGAAGATGAACATGGATTCAGTCTTAAGTATTTTGATAAGTTTGTAAATGGATCTTAACTTGATTGGCAATGCAAGTTCCTAATTTGTCAAAACTTTCACAAGCACTGATTAACTGCATTTCCTTTGTAGTTATCATGAAATTGGAAAATTATAAATCCTACCTGCTCCCTAGTTCAGGCGATTTTGGTTACTGGTCCTTTTTAACTCAACTAAGTTCCCAGAGGGTCCAATCTTAGCATTAATAATCTGCATTTTCCATTTTGTTTGTGGTGTTAACAGGTGATTTGCTAGCTGTGAGAGTTAATCTTCCTATAAGTAGGATGGCTTTTGTTTATTGAACTTTCTGTGGTGCCTATTTTGTGGTGGCTAGAAGCCCATTTTACATTTCATAATGGAGGACAGCTTATGTTTTTAATTCTCTTAATTTGATATTATTGTTTGCAGGACATCTTTGAATCAATGGGAGAGTTTGTTGATGGGTTAAAGTTCACTGGAGGCTCCCATAGTCTATTGCCAAAGACTTACATAAGAGAAGTTACTGATATGGCTCATAAACACAATGTCTATGTCACTACAGGAGACTGGGCTGAACATATGCTCCGCAAAGGACCGTCTGCCTTTAAGGAATATCTCGAGGTATGCATACTGTTATTCCTTTCCAGTTATTGCATTCAACAGCCCAAGGTGATGATATCTCATTGTGGATATTCATCTCTCAGGAATGTAAGCAGTTGGGATTTGACACTATCGAGCTCAACATGGGATCGATGGGGTTTCCCGAAGAAACTTTGTTAAGATATGTGCGGTTGATAAAGAATGGTGGTCTTAGAGCTAAGCCTCAATTTGCAGTCAAGACTAACAAGTCTGATATACCTGTCAACAGAGATAGAGCATTTGAATCTTATGTGGTACCTGCACCTAGAAGCTCTGGTAACCAAGCAAGTTATATGCTCCGTGATTCAAATTGTGGGGTCTAATGGGGACTTTATTTTGATCCTCATGTTTGATAAATCAAAAGCCCATGCAGACATGATTTGGTTAACCTGATGACGAGAGTGCAGATCATGCACTGGCCTTATGATTAAAGTGTATTATAAACTTTCTGATTACTGTGCTTAATAAGTTTTGATTTTATCTCAATTGTTCTCCAGTTGAAGCAGAACTGCTGAATGAGAAATTGAGGCCTGCCTTCTCGGGCTTAGAATCGTTGCTGACCTTAATCACGTAAATGCAGATTTAGGCGTCTTTCTGAACTGGTATCTCATGTTATAACAGAGAATTCTGGAGAATGACTTTGTTGCAGAGCTTTAAAACTCTGCCCCATCCATCTTTGGAGGAAATTATAATTTTTTTTTTCTCCCCTTTCTTCAATTTTCCCAGCACCGTATAAGGAAAATTTGCTATTGCAATTACATCATGATTTCTGAGTGTTGCTTAAACCAAGTTCAGTTTGCTCTTATGAAAGTCTATATAGCAATTTGTGGCATCCAATCTATAGTACCAGTAATGATCACTAGTGGGATTTGAAGTTTTAAGTGTTCAGCTTGCATGGATGGCTGAAAGTTTTGACAGTTCAGAGTATATTCAACCCTCAACAAATTTTCCTCTTCAATACAAACTAGAAAAGAGAAAATCAAAAAATGAGGAATGTCATGTCCTCAGTTCGGAGATGTAGGATCACAAACTGTCAGTCTTGCATCCAGAGCTTAAGATTACAAGCAGAAATTCCTCTGCTACTGCCTTTTAACTGGTGAGTTTCACTTATACCTTGCAGAATTCATTGAGGATGTTGATCTTCTGATAAGAAGGGCCGAAAGATGCTTAGAAGCTGGGGCAGACATGATAATGATTGATGCTGATGATGTCTGCCGGCAGGCTGATTCTGTTAGGGCAGATATCATTGCGAAGATAATTGGGCGTCTTGGCCTTGAGAGAACCATGTTTGAAGCCTCAAATCCTAAGACCTCTGAGTGGTTTATTAAGCAATATGGTCCCAAGGCAAGCTGCCCTTTCTTTTGTGTTGTCTATAGAAATTATCATAAGCTTTGCAGAATATTATCACATTTTTGTCATATCTTTTGTTTTTAGGTGAACCTTTTCGTGGATCACTCTCAAGTTATGGACCTGGAGTGTCTTCGAGGGCGCAACCTGGGGAAAAATCATACATCAGTTCTTGGTTCTTCACATTTTCCATTCTAATTAACTTGGGAAGTGTATAGGGAACTAAAATACTTGAATATGTTATTCACGTTTTCAGATACTGCTGGTGTCGTAATTTATGTTTTCAGCATCTGGTTTTGCATGGACCTTTCGCTTACATTGTGATTTGGTCGTTAATGATCAACGCAGAATTTCTATGGGTTCCCTTGTGTAAAATTTGCTGCCTGAGATCACATTCATCTTTGACTGCTTTGTCAATGAATATATCATGTCCAAACTTGGCACTTCCGTTTCCCATCAAGACCAAAACTAATATACAGTGGTCCAAGGCGAATATGGAAGTGAGTGTATCCTGATAATGACAAAACAGAGGTAGAAGAAGAGGGGAGGGAAAATGCGGAAACAATGGGAGAAAATCGAACAAGCCATATGATATTGTTGACGTCCTCATCAAGGCGATTTTTCTGTCATAATTTTTCATTCTGCAGCATTTTGTAGAGTTGAGATGTTATCTAGATCCTTGTATTGGCTATGACATTAACATAATGGCCAACTAGCATGAGCCAGCCACCTCATTGCTTGCATTGGCACAGAAATGTTGATTGTGAGGTCTGTAAATCTGCTTACTTGTTAGTGTCCTTGGGGTTTTGCTTAATTGAAATAGCACATGTATTGTCCAAGGTTTTGCGTATTTCGCTCTTTCTTTAAAAATCTTGGACAATACACATGTTATTTCAATTGAATGAAGAAGTTGAGAAGTGCGGTGGAATAATCATTGATACAAGACTGAGAATTTCTATTGAATGGAGCATGTTAGGGGAGAAAACATTTCAAGAGAGCTCACCAAAAAATTTAATATATATGTTAGGAGCGCAACTCTAATCCAAAAGTTTAAACTATTAGGTTTTGAAACCTCATGAAGAAATTGAGAACGAACAGCTCAAATGGCTGTTAGCCATCACTATGGCCTTTAGATTTGGTGGGGTGAAAAGTCAGGGGTTCAAATCTTATCTCCTACCATTTGCCACTATTTTTAAGACTTTTTTGTAGGAAAATATACTGTAACGATTTAATGTGTACGAATGTAAAAATATGATTGAAATTTATGTTAAAAAAAACGTAATTTTTTTTTTTTTTAAATCACAATCCAAATGCAAGTGTTGAGCTAATTTTTTTTTTCTTTTTGTTAAGAAAAAAGATTGCATCTCTCTTTTCGTCTGGAATGTCAGTATTAAAATTTAAAACCAGTATGTACCCAAACCAGTACGAGAAGCAGAAGCAAATGATAAGATAGATCAAAGTGTTCAAAGGAGAACAGCCAACTACAAGCCAAACATATGGAAACATGAACTCCTTCAATCCCTCACTAGCCAATTTTCGGTAAGAACTCTGGTTCTTGATTGCCATGCATGTAATCAACAGACGCATGTGATAGCCAAGCTCCAATCCACAAGAACGGAAATATCCATGCTACCTAGAGTGACCTATTAAATTATCATCCTCTTTTTTCAAAAAAAATTTCTCTTGCATAAAAGCAAGCATTTCAGGTACAAATTGAACCTCGTCACCTTTTTGATCATGGTGATTAGAGTTCTCCCAATTTATAACGACTAGTGATATTTTCTCCAGATGAACCGGGGAAGTTTTGTGTATGCCCAAATAATACACAACCAATGGCTAAAATTAGGAGTGCTTTTAGTAAGTTAAAACATTAGCGTAACTAAGTTAATTAACTTCTTGCCTAAGAAAAAGTTAATTAACTTCATTTCTTGTACGTGTGATTAATAAATAAATAAAAGGACTTTATATAGTTAGTTGGCATATAGTAACTATTAGTTAACCACGTGATAAGGTGGTTGCACCATAGCTACAATACTTCCATTCTACTTGAAATTGTTTTTCTCTTTTCAGGAAAAGAAATACAAAACTAGAGCCGAGACACTAAAAGAGGATGTCAAATGCATGTTCGTGGAAGCTAGTGACACATTGTCTAAGCTGGAGCTTATAGACAGCATATCAAAATTGGGTCTCGACAAATACTTCATGGAGGAGATCACAGAAGCTCTAGATGCCATAGCCTTGAGGAACAACAGCTCTGTTTTAAAAGGAGACGTTTACGCTACCGCACTCTGCTTTAGGCTTCTTAGGCATTACGGTTATCATGCTTCACAAGGTACGTACATGAAAAACTACTTGAGAGAGTTCCTTGTAAATATAAAGTATTAATGAGTGCTCAAAAGCAGGCAAAAGTTGATTGAATGTCAAAAGCAAAATATGGAATTAAAAAATTGACTTCTGGATCGTTTAATCTACGTAATTCAATATGTCTTGGAGGGGTAACACTTCAATTGAAGGAAACGCTTTAAGCTTCGTTTGAATTGAAGAATTAGATGAAAGATTTCAAATCCATTAAAATCGCTCTAGTTGCTTAATTATTTAACATGTATTTGGATTTGTAATTCACCAAATATTAGAATATATTTTAAATACTAACATAATTGATGATTTACAAATTTAAATACCTCATAAATAATTTAAACGATTACATATATTTAAAAGGATTTCAAATCCCTCATCGAATCCCTCAATCAAAACACAGCCTAAAGAATTTACTTTTTTTCCTCTCACTTTCAATTTGGATGGATTTCAGATATGTTCCTAGATTTTGTGGATGGAGCTGATAAATTCATCCCTAGCCCGAAAGTAAGCATCAAAGGGTTGCTTGAGCTTCTTCAAGCATCAAATCTAGGTGGAGAAGGAGAAGATCTTTTGACTGAGGCAGGATTATTCTCTATCGAAAATCTTAGTGGTTTTGGGGCCTCGTTGGATAACATGCTTGCCAAACAAGTGTTTGTTGTAATTACTGGCAACAAATAAAGTTGTACGTGACAAATCATAGGATCTATAACTTGAATTGTCTTAATTAGGTGGAGCCCTAAGGAGATTAAAGAGCTACCTGAAGGCATACAGATATGTTTCTGGACATTGCTAAATACTACAAATGAAATGGCAGCTGAAATCGAGCAAGAAAAGGGTTGGACATCAGTTTTACCATATCTACAGAAAACGGTAATTAGCTATCTGATCAAATTTACTCCAAATCAGTTTTTGAAAGTGTTTTTTGGTGAGCTTTCATGTATCAACGGTATTTATTTAAGTTTCTTTTTCCCCATTTTTCCAGTGGACAGATTTTCTGAAATCCTTGCTCGTGGAAGCTAAGTGGTACAACAAGGGTTACACGCCATCACTTGAAGAGTATCTTAACAATGGTTGGATATCTTCATCTGGGCCTCTGCTTTCTGTGCTTGCAATCCTGGGTGTAGCGGATAGGAAGACACAAAATGTTGCAGAATATCTTAAAGATTGTGAGCAGATTATCCACCATTCCTCACTCGTAATCCGGCTTTGCAATGATCAGGGAACATCTGCGGTACATAATTACTTGGGTTATGGTTTTCATAACTTGTTATTGTCAGCTAATGTCAGATTTTAATTTACTTAGTACAGCAAATCATATATTTCTTTAATCTCTTAATTTTGTTTTTTGTGTTCATCATAATTGACAAATGTTGGTATTAATTGTCCTAATGATATAGGCGGAACTAGAGAGAGGAGACGCTGCTTCATCAATCTTATGTTTCATGAGAGAAGCAAACGTTTCAGAAGCAGTGGCAAGGGAGCATATCAGAAGCCTAATGGTGAAGGCCTGGAAAGGGATTAATGGATACTGTATTCCGTGTCCTCCATTTCTCCAAGAACCAGCCAAATATATCACAAATGCAGCAAGAGGAGCACATTTTATGTATCAACACGGAGATGGATTTGGCGTCCAAGATCGTGAGACTCGAGACCATGTTCGGTCCAACTTCATTGAACCCATTCCAATCAAATGACCAAACTATTGCCGTTCAATGTTCATGCATGGCCCAATTAATATATCTAAATATTTTGTTAAATATATCTAGCTAGTGCTTGTGACTTTTCTTGTGGTTTTATTAAGGGATAATTTCATAAGCCTCCCCTAATGTTTCTGGCTATTTTACTAGCCACCCTTCAAGTTTTGAAAATTACACTAACCTCCTTTGAGGTTAATTATCTCGTAACATTTAGCCCCAATCAATAATCAAAAATATTTGCAACCAAAATATTAGAGAGAACAAATTTTAACATCATAAATACTCTTATCAACATATTAAAATTGGTTACTGAGATTTTTATGGTATTAAAGTTCGTTCTTTGTACTTTTTTTATTGCAAATTTTTTTAATTATTTATTGTTGATCATGTTTGACAATGGGTATGTAACTAAAAATAGCAATTTAGATCCTACAGTAAGAGAAATATATAGATGATATCCAATTTTTTATGTCATATGTGATTTAATCCCTAATGATAAATAGCAAATTTTAGTATTTTCTTTAATGTTTGGGTTGGTATTAGATTAATTAAATAATTTAGTAAATAAGGGATAATGGTAAAATCATATTATCTTCTCCCTCCTAATATCACTTTTAAATTGTTTGTTGGATATAAATGTTACAAGATAATAAATTTCAAATGATGTTAGTGTAATTTTTAAAATTGGAAGAGAGATCAGTGAAATAGTAATTTTAAATGCAAAATTAATTAAGCATCCCAGAACGGATTATTCTTGTATGATGCAGGGTTTACACAGCAAATTAGCATTTGAGGTATCAGTCAATGCCTTAGTGTAAGCGTGGTCTCTATCAACGTTTTTAAAATATTATCAATATCAGTCAGCACACAAATTAATCGAAGTCGTGTGCATCCAAAATATTACATGGAAAATAATTGGCAAGTGTCAAATCATATTAAACCATGGAAGTCATGTTTTGATCAGTCAACAAGTAGCCTTATATTCCACTTGTCAGTCCAGAAATGGTAGTCGGACTTCAGGGGGAAAGACAAAAAGTAAAAGAAGAAATTTCTACTCTACAAGTGTGTTCCTGTTCTGGAAACATTCACCAGCTTTGAGGCTGATCAATTTGATCATTTCGTTTATACATGCACCTTGACCGGTCCTCTAGTTATTTTGAAGCTGATTATGGTTTGGTCCTCTATTTATCGAGAATTTTAAATTGCCCCTTTTTCAAAATCACTTATCAGTATTCGACCCTTGGATTTTCAACTCGTATAGTACTGCAACTCATTTTTAGTTGATTTGACATGCAACAGTCAGGAATAGAATGATGAATAATATATTATACAATTTTGAGGGCCCCCGGGACTAGAGCCGGTGGTAGTACCCTATTTGGGGAAGTTCCTCCGCGAAGGTTCGAATCTCGAGTAAAGCGATAGGTGAAAAAGTTGGGCAATCTCTTTCGACCCGTAGAGGATTAGTTGGGTCATTAGGTATTACCAGTCCAAAAATCCAGATACGTCTGTGTTGAAAAAAAAATTATATACAATTTTGAGGAACTTTTAATAAATTTATCACATTTTTTGGGTATTAAATGTTTTAATCAAGAAAATGAAAAGCAACAAGAGTAGATTTGAAAGACAAATGTTCTAGTATTTACGTTCCCAAAAACAAGCAAGAAATTCTCAATTTTCCAAACAAAATCACGCGGAATTTATGTGAACAACAAGTGTGCTAAAAAAAAAAAAAGGCAAGAAATCCGTAATTTTTCCCAAGACAAATTGAAGTGGAATTTATGTTTGTAGTATGCCATTTTAATGTAGACATAAGGCGATTGAAATATGTTTTAAGGATGTATTATTGCACTTTAACAGCTACAACGTAAATTTTTCAGAAAAAGTCCGATCTTTGATATTTTAACATGACAGAGTATTATACTCCTATTTAGTATACTTAAAAAGTTTGAGAAAAAATCATCATATAAACATTGATATTAAGAAATATAAAGCCTTGTATTGTGTGTGATTTTGGAAAATGTGTTGGAGTTTCAAATTAAGTGAAATTTTTGTTAATTTTTTTTTCGAATTTGATGTAATTTTTGTCAATCTTTTAGATCTGCATTTATCTATTGCATATTTTGTTGTATTTTCTACCGTTAGTGGACATATAATAAAATAGAATGGCAAAAAAAAGAAAGAAAAAGAAAAAACAAGGCTTGTTCTCCATGGTTAGGTGCACAGGACTTTCATCAAAGATCCTAAATGTTACCGCACCAATTGATTAATAATTTCACGGTACTCAACCGTTGAATATGTTATGGTGTTTTAAACAAATTAGTGAGATAATTTTAAAGATTTTACAGCAATTTGTTAACAGGTATTAGCACATGATGAGATGTTGAATTTAATTTTAGACACATTAATGTTTATTACAAAGAGTCCTCCACACTGTAAATAATACAAATAAATTACAACTCAAAGTCTCAAACTATCCCACAATGAGTGGGACACTAAAACGTGCTTCAACATTGATCACTAAACCGAGATTACTATCTACGTTAAAGTGTTATTAATGCATCAACAAAAGAATACGAAATACTTGGTCAAATTCATGAATCTCATTACATTTAATAACATTCAAAGCTTGATTTTTGTTTTTATAAATTATACATTTAAACCATTTTAAGGATGGTAGTGAGTTGCATACCCTCAAAAATCTCTTTTATTAAATCCTAACATGTGTATCTAAATTTTTACCAATCCCTATCAGGTAATCCTACCGAGTTTAAATTCCATTACTAAATCCTCTCAATCTCGGGTTCAGATTATTCATCGGTTACTTTCTATCCGCTAATTTAAATAGTTTAGAAAAAGGTGATTAACTATTATCAAACTAAATTTAATATATACATCATATTAAATCAACACATTACGATAAGAATTGAGAGTTTGAGAATTTGAGGGATGATAACAAAGAGAATTTGAGATTCAATCAATAATCATTATTGGACAATAAAATTAAGGCACAACAAATGCCTGTGCATATATATATCTATATATATATATATTTTTTATATTTGTATATATCCGGTATTGATTTACCCGATCCATTGTCATTCCTAAACCTTTTAAAACATTTTATTGTCAAAAGCACTTTTTTTTCCTATATGAGTTTTTGTCAAAATCCTCAACATTCAATAAAACACCAAGCCATCTTAGAAAATAAATGATATTGTCAAACTCCTCGACATAAAAGGAAACACCAGGCCCCCTTTCAAAATAAATGAAAGCCCTCTTTGTAGTTTGTACTGCCCAGATCAGATCACTGTATCATACAACAAAAACCTGAAAGGTCCAAATCTTGTATCTGCAGACCCCAAATATTCTGGTATTTACCCTTTTAACACCATCCCTGCTCATAATTTACACTTTGACCCCAAAAAGGAAAAAAGAACCCCAGAAATCCACCCGCCCGATCCCGACAGAGTACAATCAACGCAAACCCATAGCTATTAGCAATATTTGATTCTTATGATTGTAATAGATGTATCCAAATTTACCCATTTTCCCAATCCTCATTTCTTCTACAGTTAGCAGTAAGAATAGAAGAAGGGGAATTGGTCTCTTTTCCCATCTTTTTTGGTCTCAAAATCTTGAGACCCTTTTCACTATTTTTTCCTTCTTCTCCTATTCTAGGCCTTCTCCATTGTCAGAAAAGGGGAAGAGGGGTTATTAATATTTCATAAATTCATTAGAGAAATAATAATTGTAGAAAGAATTCGCAATAATAAGGAATAATGTCGAAGAAGAAAGCTACTATGACTCTCAAGGACTTCCATGGCGGTTCCATCCCTTCCGATCTTCCTTTACCTTCTGCACCCGGCGTGTTAGTATTACTCCCTATTTCTATCCATAATTTCTTAGTTGTCATGGATTAAAGCTTAACTCTTTATTGATTTCGTTTTGTTGGTTGTATTTCTTTAATCATCTGAAACTTGCTGTTATTATTGGTGGTAGATTTATGAATTGTTCTGTTTTATTCCCGTTCGATTTTTGTTTCATGGATTGTCTTAATTTTCTGACTTGGGGCTCGTTTATTTAAAGGCGGTGAAAGATAGATTTTTTTTTTTTGGGGCCAAGACTAGCTGGAATCTATCTTTTTTTCTGTTTTTTCCTGGATGTATTTTGATTAAGGGAAATTTGACTCTGCAAATGTTATTGTTATAATTCAGATCTGTTTTATGTAGCTCGATTAAAGGTTGATGAAATTTTTGTTACTTTAGGAACATAGAAAATTAGTAGTTACAAGCATATAACGTGGATGGAGATACTTGTTTTGTGTGTGCGCGGGCATGTATTAGCGTAAGAGCAAATGATTTTTGGGCTTTTTGTCTGTGTAAATATAAACCTGATAGAAAACTTGGAATTTTTGGCAGAATGGTGAGGCCATCTGAGCGTGGCTCCCTCGACCGGCAGGCAGCATGGGGGAACCCATTGGGACGGCCAGACCACCGGTTGCGTCCAGGGTCAGCTGGGACAGCTAGGAACTTTGATGACAAGACTACTTTTTTAAGTCATAATAGTAATATAGGTAGGCATTTTGATGAGGATGAGCGGAAACCATTGGATGGGGTATCAGGTCCTCGTCGAACTGTCAGTGATGAGAGCCTCAGAGCTCTCCCAAGTCATGTGGTGGAACCTAAGACTGATTATTCAGCCTCTGGGAGGGTCCCTAGTCGACCATCCTCAACTCCTGGGTTGCAGTATGCAAGTGGTATAACTAGTAGTTCTTATGCTGGGAGGTTTAGTGAGACCAATCATGCAGGAGTGGGTTCTCAAGGGTTTGGACCAAGTGGTGGAGTTGGAGTGAATTTTCAGAATGTTAGTGGGTCTGGTGGGCAGATGGTTTCTGGGCCGCATCCAAATGCATGGGGACTTAGGAAAGAAGCAGCTGGTGTAAAAGAACCAGCTGCTGCTACATGGTCTGCTCCAGATGCTGCAGCAAAGTTAGCTCA